TTGCTTATACTTTTTGTGTTCTGACCCTAATTGTATGCAAATCCTCCTTAACATTAGGTATGTTCATTTATAGAATGACCTAAAACGTAATGTATTCATTCAAAATCAAATACACATAAAGAAGGTCAGTTCTCCATGCACTCCCTTCTTAGCTGTAGTCTGCTTCCAGTAATCCATAATCTTTCCACTTCAACACCTCACTGAGGTTTTAAGGTAGGATATGATTTTTTTATTAAGTTGTTTTTTTTTTTTATTTTTCTTTAACTTGCAGACAGAAGTTCAAGTGTGTCAGTAAATCCAGCTCCAGCAGACTGTACACTTTGAAGTAGCAGCATTTCTCCTTTTATCTCTTATGACACCCGCAATTTGGAATTTGCACAATACCCAGATTGCTGGCTGTAGTGTGGGTGTGGAGAACATCTGGTCCAGCAGCAACAGTTTCTCTTCTTATGAAGAAGTCCTGTGAGCTAGACTTTTTCCTTCATTTCCTCTTCCCTCTAATCCCCCTGTTCTCTTTAAATTCGGTAAGATTTTTATTGCCAGACACACTATATAATGTCTAACTAGTACATAAAAGAGATGAACACATCTCTGGATAAAAGCTTTGTAAAAGGAAACATATCAGCTCTTCCTCTATTATGGTTAACAAGACATCTCCATTAGTGAAGGGAATTGTTTGAGAACTGTTTCTGTAATACCATCAATACATGTCCTTTCATTATGTATGCCTCTGATAGCAAAGAAATGTCTCAATTCAGTTGATTTCCCAACAAAGCATTTGTTATTTCTCCTTTGTTTCCTAATTTTATCTGCTTCCAAATTCAGTTCGTTCCATCACACTGAATTCAGATTGCCATCTTCAGACAAGCAGCACAGGGTGGCATTTGTGAGAAGTCCAGTAGAATTTTGTACTTGGTAAGCCTCCATGCTTGGTAGAGTCTTAAGAGCCAGAAAACACCTGAGATGTTCATGTCTAGCCCCAAAGCAGGAGGAGGTTTGCAGGAAATTTTCATTAAATTTTGTTCTTACAAACAATTGACAATAATGCTGAGATCTTAATCCTTGCTTTTGCAAAACCAGTGATCTAGAAAGTGTCTTTTAAATTATTATATCAACTGACTGCTTTGTAAATCTGAGTATTCTTCCTCTGAAAGCAAGAACATATTGAGGAAATCCTACTTTTTCTTGACTTCAGAAGTTTATTGTACATAAAACTTCAAGGTTTGCAAAAAGAAGAGCAGAGATTCACAAATTAAGGGATGCTTTACAAATGTGGATTTAGCCCTCAACCCAAGATGAGCTATGTATCTCTCAGTTTCTGCAAAGGTTTTTTTGGTTTTTGGGTTTGGGGTTTTTTTTGTCTGAAAAGGGAAAAAAGTTGCAAAATAACACAAGTTTTAAAATGGCATTATAAGGGAAGCTCACATTCTTGACAGTTAAATTTTGGGGAGTATAACCATATGCATTACAAGGGTATTACACTAAAAAAGTCGGGATTGCTCCATGAAGTGAGCATGCAGCTGAAAGTAGAGCTGCTTCAACCACAACTCTACTTCTGTGTCTTTTTCCTGTAGCAAACACAGCCACCACAAAAAAGTACCAAAAGGTATGAGTTCAGCTAAGGCACCAGAAAAGAGAGCTGAATATTAAGTAAGTGGGAGGATGAAGTGGAAGGGGAAATAAAATACATTCTTTTTGTGCTTCCATAAATGACACTCACTCTCTAGAGTGATGGGAGGAGGACATGGGATTTTCTGAAGCTCAGTGCCCCTCACTTGGTTCTCTTCAAGTTTCCATTGTTTAGAACTGACTATAGAGGTTCAGTATAACCCTACATGACTTTTGGAGACCCCTGGTGGCCTAGTGGTTAGCATGCAGGACTCTCACTGCTGCGACCCGGGTTCAATTCCTCGGTCTCCCGGGCAGATGGAACCCGTTAGCCCTGTGAGGCCATCCATCTATGAGAAGGTCACTCTAAACAAACCTACGTCCTGAGGACCTCACTGCCATTGTCCAAGCTTGCTTGGCCCCGGCAGATGAACCTTAGGATTAAAGGGTGGGCTCAGTTCAGCGCAGGCTGTGTCTCACCTAAAAAATCCATTGCGCAGGCTGGAAAGGTAAAAGACCTTTCCCCAGATCTTTGTTCGCGAAGACTGCCCAATATACATGACTTTTGTCTCTCCTCCCAGTAACAGTGAATAAACAGGAAAATAATTGCAAAGCCTCTAGAAGAAACGGTAAATGTAAATGTGGAAGTTCAGATTTGATATAGCTTTATAAACATCGCTACTTTGCATATTTAGCCCTTAGTCTTGTCCATATAGAACTGTTCCATTGATTTTACTAAAGTTTGGGCTGTAAGTGTAATTCAGCTGTTAGCTATAGGTGTGTGTTAGGGTTTTCAGGGTATTTTTTTTCTTTATAAATTTCTAATCTGGCTTTCCAGATACATTGGTATTCATCCTCTGATTGCTAAGTACAGTTTTGAACCAAATATTGTCATTCATTTAACTGTATTTTAATGTGGTACCCTTTGGTTAAGACAGTGGAAACAGCTAACTTTTCAGCAAAATCTGTCAGACTGACTTGATCTTTGACACATCAGTGGCTTTCTACTTGCAAAGGTGATTCAACTACATCTTTTTCAGTGTTAATTTTTCATTTGCAGTGTTTTTTGTTCAAAGTGCCCTGATGCTGCATTAACCTCGTTTAATGCTTTTTAAAAATATATACTAAATTCACCAATTGTGTATTTTAAAAAAAAATTCGTGACATTGCAGATATCTCCTTCTATTAATGGGACTTCAAAATGGTGTGTCACAACTTGTGGAATGTTATAGAAGAAAGAAAAGAAAGAAAAAAAATGTTTTTCTGATGGTAAAAATCAAAATTCAGCTTGATACAAATGTTCATGCCACAGTCTGAAATATAAGTTACGCTGGTATTAGTGTGTGAGAGGTGTACAACTGTGGTGAAGGAAAAGGATGTTCTCTTTCATTCCTTCTGTCCCCTAATTCCCTTTGCCCCATTTTACTGACCTTCTCTCAGCATTTCCCATGCAATTTTATTTCAGTTTTGAAAGCATCATGCTATAAAAGCTCACTCAACTGAAAAGATACCTGTATGTATACAGTGTGAAAGGAAGAAGGCCTTTTCTTTCTGCTAGACCTAATCTGAGTTCTCCTGATACATGCTGCCAGACAATCCCAAAGATTTGGACTTCATTACCTAGAAACAGTTTTTAAAACCAAAGTAAAATAAAAAGGTAACAGCAAGCTTGCTAGCAGTAGTCTGGGGAAACTAAAACAACACCAACCCAAAACAAAACCCCAACAAAAATGAACAAAACCCCCTACCTGAAACTAAAGATTGTGCTTGATCAATTCTCCCTTTGTAGATCGGCTCGCAAGATAGTGAGACTGTAATTCAATCCTGGACAACCTGCGACCTCTTTTGGTCAATTAATAAAACGAGCACGAGGACAAAAGAAGACTTAAAAGCCTTGGTACAGGCACCCATGGGGCATTAAGCAAGGCTGATCTCTCTTCTTTAATTCCCAAGGAAAAGTGTCTACTCTTACACCATATTATTCATAAATAAAACCAGATATTTTTTTATCCTGCTGTGTACAGTGCTCCTTTCAAGATGGTATTTGAAAGGTGTAAGCACTGAATAAAGAAAAGAGAAAACAAATGGAATAGTTGATTCTAATTATCTAAAAAGATACGATTTGCAAAAAGTGCAGTTTTCAAGATTCACAGCATCATGGCCAGTACCTTGAGCAATAACATATATACTTCTCTCTTCCACTTGAATTTTAACACATGAACAGCTGACGAATTACTGAAAGGTGGATTTCAGTTTTAATGATGAAGGAGTTGAAAGCAGAACATTCATTCCCACAGCAGAAGATATTTGTATAAACCAGTATCTGTGAGCATTATTGGTTTTATTTTTCACAAGGAGCAGGCTTCTCTGGGTGGAACGCCATTATATTTGTCTATGCATATAGCTCACCATCCCCTTCCTCATGAGATGGCAGGAGAGCTTCAGAAAGGATGGTCACAAATTTTGGCATTGCCAATTCAGATTTTCTTGATCATAGTTAAGCCAAGTTAACAGGGAGCAAAATATGCCTAGCAGAATGGGAGCAGAATTTGCAGTGGCCAAAACCTGAATGCAAATGCATGCATTGTGCAAAATCCACGTAGAGTTTCGATGTTGGGTTTTTGGGGGGGATGGACTGCCTGGTGCTTTTTTTCTGGGTTTGAGAGGATGTTGCAATAGAAACTGTTTTCTTATAGACTAAAGGAAAAGTTTGTAAGAGTTCAGAAAACTCTTTAAAAGACACCTAAGGGAGGTACATCCCTTATGAAACGAACCAAGTCCTGGACCAGAAAGCAACGTCTGGGGAAACGTAGGTGTGTGGGCGTGCGGGTGAGCGCGTGCACATACATTTCCCCCCCATCTACCTAGGAAACGCAGGTGTCGTGTGAGCTGCAAGCCGGTCCCAAATTATGCCCCGAATCTGCGTGCGTGCGGGCGTGTGCGTGTGCGAGCGTTAGCAAAGGCACGCCTTCTCCATGGCCGGGGCTCTTAGCCCCAGAGCACACAGGATTGTAGCCAGGAGTCCAAAAAAGGGCACTCTCCGCGAGCTTTGCTCTCCTTTCCCGGTGCCAAGGAAACGCACACGGACATGGGGACGCGCACACGCATACAGCACATTTTCTTGAAACAAAAGGCACAAGACGTGCTCCTCTCGCCAGAGCCGTACCCCGCACAGCTGATTTCTAAGAAGTGCCCATAAACCGCCGTCAGCGCCGCGTCCTTCCCCCCCCTCCCCCCACTACCCCCGCACCGCCCTCCCAGCCTTGCGTGACCGAGCCCTGGATCCGGCGAGGGCCGGCGTTCCCTGCGCGTTATTCGCGGCGCGGGGCGGGCCGGCGGCCGGCGCTATATAGGGACGGGCAGGCGGGTGGCAGGGTACACAGCTGGGCGCGGAGTAGCGGGGAGCGGAGCGGCTGGCACGCAGGCAGGCGGCACGGGGAATAAAACCAAGGGAACCTCGATTTTTCTTCCCCTTCCCCACTATTTTTACTCCCCTCCCTACTTTCTCCTTTTTTTCTGAAACGCTTTTGGACCAAGTTTTCTTCAGACCGTCTGGGCTTGGCTTTTGATTATTTTTTTTTGTCTTTTAACTTTTTCAAAGCTTTTTTTTTTCCCTCTGAGTGTTGTGTGTGTGGCAAAAAAGAAAAGTTACTGTCGAGCCAAGTAATTCAGGCTCTCTGCAGGCAGGAGGGGGGGAGAAGAGAAGGAAAAAGCTGCCTTTGTTGCTAGCGAGCCCTTGCTGCCTTTATGTGACTGAGGGGAAGCGACTGCAGGGAAAACCGGCGTGCGAGAGCCGGCAGCGGCTCCCCGCCTCCTCGCTCCGGCAGGGCTGCGAGCGGCCGCCAGGTCCGCTCCCCGCAGTCCCCTCGGAGGCGGCGCGGGCTGCGCTGCTCCGCTTCTCTCCCTCCGCCCGTGCGCACCCACACAGGGCTCTGCCCGTCCCGCTCCGGACGCGGTGTGCGGGGGCGGCTCCTGGCGGCTCCCTCCGCCGGTTGCCATGGTGCCGCGGCCCGGCGTGCTGTGGGCAGTGGCGGCGGCGGCGCTGGCGCTGCTGGTCCGGCGAGCGGCGGCGGCGCTGGCGGGGCCGGTGGTCCGCTGCGAGCCCTGCGACGCGCGGGCGCTGCAGCAGTGCAAGCCCCTGCAGCCCGACTGCGCCGAGCGGGTGCGGGAGCCTGGCTGCGGCTGCTGCCTCACTTGTGCCTTGCGCCCCGGGCAGCCTTGCGGCATCTACACGGAGCGCTGCGGAGCAGGACTCAGCTGCCAACCGCGGCCGGAGGAGGCGCGGCCGCTGCAGGCGCTGCTGGAGGGCCGCGGGCTCTGCACCAACGCGACGGCGGGCGGCAAGCTGCGGGCCTTCCTACTGCCGGGACCGCACGCTACAGGTAAGAGGCGAAGGGGTGGCTTGCCTGCGCGCCGCTCTCCCTCCTCTTCGCTACTTTCTTTCTTGCCCCCTTTTTTTTTTCGATTTCTTTTGTTGTAAGTTACAAAGAGAGCTGCCCGCAGCGGGGAGGGCCCGGGCGACTCGCTGCGGAGCTCTGTCTCCGGAAAGGGCCCTCGCTCGCTGCCCGACGTCTGCCGGTCCGCGGGCCGGGGGCTCCGCCGGCAGCCACGTAGCCGAGTCTGGGATCGTTTTGAAGGCGGCGTGCTTTGACTGAAGGAAAGGACAATTTACTTCTTCCACCTTATTTTTGTATATATAGGTTTTCTTCAATACCGATGCTGAGAGGTAGCTCCTCGCAAAAGAGGCAGAGTTGCCTATTTTTATTTTAAGAAAAAAAGGGGGGGGAGTGGGGGAGGGATTGCATGTTGCTTCTGCGGGTGCGTGGGACTCTCAGGCTACAGAGCCTGAATGGAGAGAGAGAGGATGAAATCCTCGCAGTTTGTCCCCGGTGGTTCCTGGAAAGAGGGTGTGCAAAAACTCGAGAGTGGGCTCTAATTCCTGCTCTGCAGCGTGGGTGAGTCAAGGAAGTCTAAGCACAAAGAGGAAAAAAAGGGGAAGAAAAAAACCCCCAAGAGTTAAATATCCCTTTGGCCTAGAAAGGTGGTTATTCAGAACAAAGCATTTGCACAGCAGTGTTTAAGAGGACGTTTGTTTTTTGCCTGCACTGCAAATAAATCTTTGGTCAAAGGAAGCTTTCCCGTACCTCTTCCATGTCTTGTAAATGAGACGTTCACTGAGCGGGTTTTGTTTTGTTTGAAGAGGAAGGGACGGTTGGAAAAAGCTCTGTTAGCATGCACATTTGGAAACTTAAGACAGGGAAACTTGGAATTCGGATCAAGAAAGCACAGTCCCTCTACGCAAACGTTTAATTAAACTGTTTGCTAGCCAACAGCAAGTATGTGAACATTTATTTAATAGAAAAGTGTGTCAAAAGGCTTTTCCCTATTTGCATTTTTAAAAAGCTAGGAGATTTTCTGCTAGGTTGCACGGCCTCTTTCACTAGCCTCTCCTTAGCTGAGGAAGTAGCACCAGTGCTCCAGTTAAGTGGCTTCTGGAAGAATAGGCAAAGCCTTATTATAATTATTTATGTGCTGCTCCCAAGCTGTGACAATTTAAACGAGAGTTTAGAGGTATTCACTGAAGTTTGAAATCTCCTTGGAACATGGAGCAGCTTCCTTCACCACATGAGCTTGGCTCTTCCTACTTATCCTTGGAGTGACACTGGAAACAAGGGGGTATCTTCTTGATACTTGAGAGTCGATGCTGTTTAATGTAGTGCTTTTAACAGTGACTATTAGAGAAGGAGAAAGGGGAAGACAGCTGCGCTTTGCTGAAAATCTTTCCATTTTCAGCTGAATTTCTGAATTTGTGTTCTTGGCTGAGGGAGAGCCCTGATTTTGAAATCAGCAGGAGCTTTGATTACTTAAAAAGTGCAAAGTAGGACTGTACAGTTCACATTCAAGGAGTGAAGGTTGCAAACGTAGTATGCAAGACGGAAGAAGTATCGTGAACATATATGATATGTAGTGCCCACCTCCTTGTGGGTACTGCTCCACTCCCAGCTCTGAATACAACACTCCATGGTACATACCCTCTCTGAGCAGGATCACATCATCTCCTTTACACACAGCTAGGTCCTGCATCATGTGCTATATTGCTGGTCATTACTAGTTCACGAAATTGCTGGAAATTGGTTTAGGGTGGAGTATATTACAGTAGCACTGTAGTGGGCCACTGACTTTCCAGTTGGTTTTTTTGGGCACAAAAGTGTTAAGTAGTAGTGTGCATGTGCAACCCTTCTAATCTGTTTTAGAAAAAGAGTCTGTTTCTCTTATGAGGGTGTAAAGCTAGCATGGCACCAAGTTTTGTGAAACTGAGTTAATCAAATATGCTTTACAGTTTAAAATGTGGCAATATGACCATTTGAAATTGAAGTGTAAGAAGTGCTGTTGAAATATGATGGCCTGTGTAAACTGAAACGATCAGCCATGGTCATGGATATTCAATGCATATTAAGAATATTTTCTACGTATTTTTTGGTAGAAGAGGAAAACTAGTAAACTGAACTGATTGCAGAAGACCTAGGTTCATGTTTATAACATTTTATTGACTCATTTCTTGCAAATTTCATTGAGAATGTTGGGGGAAAAATACCACTGTTTCAAAACAGGACATTAAACCACCTAAAATATGTTCAAATACCACTGAGAGTCTGAGTTAAACCCACAAAAGCGAGGAAATTGAGACTTAAGACTTAAACTTCCTTAATCCATTGGCACTGCAATTTGGATTTTCCTGGTCAATTATGTCAATTGCCAGCCGTGGCTACACTAAAACCACTGGTACCAAAATGTTAATTCAGATCCCACTTCCTCTCATGTTCCTTCCCCCATTCCTGTGTATTGGCAGTGCCACTGTACTGCCTGTATTGAAATATTTAGTGTCAAATGAACTATGTGAACGTGGACTTTCAGGTTTAGCGCTGAATTTCTCAGCTTTTGTGTCTTTTCAGTGAATCATCAAATATAATTTTAATATTGGGTGCTATCATGATGTTAACACATCAGTTATTGTGCGTTCCCAATTGGATTTCCTTAAAAATGCAGCATAGACAAATATCTCAGAAGGGACAGGAACACTGGACTTATGGAATATGTTAGAAAAATGTGTTTCTCCTGATGTCTTCTCAATGGTAGTTTAAAGAGAAAATATTTTTGAAGGTCGAGGTGAAAGCAATGTTTGTCCTTTGACACCATTACAGAATGAATGGCATTTTTTTCCATTATCTTTCTAGGTGTTTTGTACACCTAGAAATGTTTTTGATTTTTATAGCTAAATGAAAGCGTGCTGTTCTTTTTCTTTCCTGATCTCTGTGTTGAATAAAGTTAAGGGGGGGGGGGGGGAAGTGTTAGAGGTGGCTAATTAGAACCAGGAAACTCAGCGCGGTAGAGTTGATTGAATTAACGTCTCTTAAAAAAAAAAAAAAAAATTACCACCCTGGGGAAGGCAGAGCCATACCGCAGCCCATAAGTGTCCGGAGCCGGCCGCGTTGAGCTGGGATTGATGAAGTCAGCGGTGGCGGAGGGGAAGGATCCGCACCCCGGCGCCGGTGGGGCTGCGGCGGTCTGGGCTCCGACGGCGCGGGCCTGCCCCCTGCTGCCGGCGGGCGGGAATGCAGCGAGGGCCGAGGGGCGGTGGCGCTGGCTGCTTTCCAGGTGTTGGGTACAGCCTGCACGGGTGGTGGAGTGAGGGACCTTATGAGGCCGCTCTTAGCATGCTTAGGATGCTTCAGTTACAAAAGTCATCACTTTTGTAACAAAGATGCTGATGCATGCTATCAGTAAGACAAGAGGGCATGGTCTTAAGCTGTGCCAGGGGAGGTTTAGGTTAGATATTAGAAAGAAATTCTTTATAGAGAGGGTAAACAGGCATTGGAATGGGCTGCCCAGGGAAGTGGTGGATTCTCCGTCCATGGAGGTTTTTAAGATGAGACTGGATGTGGCACTTAGTGCCATGATCTAGTAACCATGGCAGTAGTGGATCAAGGGTTGGACTTGATTATCTCAGAGGTCCTTTCCAACCCGGCTTATTCTGTGATTCTATGAATGCTACATTGTTCATCTTTTGGTATATTGCTATTTTGTAAAAAGGAAAATTAAGCATTTAGACTAATCTAGTGCCTTGTTAATTGAGGGGAGACCTCATCCTGGTCTACAGCTTCCTCCCAAGAGGAAGGGGAGAGGTAGGCAGCAAACTCTTCTTGCCCTGACCAGTGATAGGAACTGAGGTAATGGCATGAAACTGTGTCAAGGGAGGTTTGAGTTGGATATCAGGAAAAGGTTCTTAACCCAGAGGGTGGTTGGGTCCCCCAGAGAAGTGGTCACAGCACCAAGCCTGCTAGAGTTCAAGAAGCATTCAGACAATGCTCTCACGCACAAGGTGTGATTCTTGACGCTGTGGTGTGTGGGGCCGGGAGCTGGACTTGATGATCCTTGTTGGTCTCTTCCAACTCAGGATATCCTATGATTCATCTGCTCTTGCAGATGCAGCTGGCAGTTGATTAACATTGTTTCTTTTGCATTTGTTCTTTTTGAAGGAAATTCCAGTGATTCAGAAGAAGACCAGAGTACCAGCAGCACAGAAAATCAGGGCATTCCAAACTCTCACAGGGTGCCAGATTCCAAGTTGCATTCACCACACATCAAAATAGATATCATCAGGAAAGTGCAAGCCAAAGATACTCAGCGCTATAAAGTGGAATATGATTCTCAGAGTACAGATACACTGAATTTGTCTTCTGAATCCAAACAAGAGACTGAATATGTAAGTATTTTTGTGTTTGATGGTTGGGTCCCATGAGCAAAGGTACACCAGCTTACCAATGCTGCTGGTGTCTGTAAGAACACAAAATAAGTCTGTCAGGGACAGGATGCCTTTGTCAGCAAGTGGTCTTCTAGCTGTGTCTGCATGTTAGCTTCTGATACTAGTCTTTTTGACTTTGGAAGCTTACTTGAAAATAATAATTTAAAAAAAGCTGTTGATCTTTTTGTAATCCCAGTTTGGGACCAAATCTGAATGCATATGGTCTGCAGTCAGTGTGTTTGAGCAGTAAGAGCAGCAATTTAAAGCATGTGTTTAGAGCCTGTGAGATCGGTACAGAAGGAAAACGTGAAAGCAACAAAGAAGGTCTTTACTAACCAAAAAACTCCATTTTGATCTCCAGTAGAACTGTGGAGTCTGTATGCTTTCAGACACTCACATAAAAGGCACTTTATATGAGCAAACTATTAATATTACCACTTGAAAGTATAAATGACATTACTTCACTAATTAAAAACTGCACCAAATGAGTCTTTGTGTCAATACAGCAACTTAAACATTTTTAAACCATGCAAAGAAATTTTTTTGGGTTTTCACTGAGGGAGTGGGCTTGTGGACTGAGTCAGTAATATGCCCAGACAGAGTGTAGCTGAGCACAGAGTTTGTGAGCTATGATTCTTGAATCCCACTGCTGAGACTGACTGCCTTCTTGGCCTCTGGCAAAATGTGAACTCCTCTGCTCTTGGCTTTCTGACTGCTAAGTGGGGCTCATAATGCTTTACTCTCTACCCCGAGGGGCTGCAGTGAGAAAGAATTAGTTGGTGTTTGAGACATGCTCTTAAAAGTGCTTCTGGAAGCTCTTTTTGGCTCATTGTCCAGGAGCTAATCCTCACTACATTGTTGTCAGCCTTTTGCAGATAAAGAAAGTAAGGGAAAAAGTGACATACTTATCAAATGAAACTGTGTGCAACTGGTCCTTTGCATTTCTGCAGCCATTTGGTTCAGTTGAAGTTGGGAATCATTGTCCAAAGTTGAGGAATTTTATATATACATATACATTATGCGAAACTACTTGTTTTCAATTTAATCTATTTCATTTAAGCTTTCAAATCCAGCAGAATCACAAAAATCAAATGCCATTAGGGAAGGCCTACCTAGTAGTATATTTCCAGTGACCTACTTTCTTCTTTTCCCACTTGGTGCAAGGCCAGCTTTTCCAAATTTAAGTTATATGTTACTGATTGACATACTGGTTAAGCCTTCCCATGGATATATGTGACTGTGATTTCAACTGCAAATGCCAGTAGGTGCCTCAGCATAGCATAGGGCTTTCAATGTTTAGAAATCGTTTTATCTTGAATAGAGCAGAGAGTCAGATTTTTTCTGTGAATGGTCTGCCTTTTGACATATCCAGCCATCCCTTTGTTTTAATGGATTTGCTTGAGTTTGTGCTTCGTGCCCTTTAAAGATTTATTAACTCTTATCTGAAAGATTGAATTTGGGAATTAAGTTTCACCTGTGTTTTCTCAAATATGCTTGTTAACAGGGTCCATGTCGTAGAGAAATGGAAGACACTTTAAACCACCTAAAGATCCTGAATGTCTTGAGTCCAAGGGGCTTTCATATTCCAAATTGTGACAAGAAGGGGTTCTACAAGAAAAAGCAAGTAAGTACAGGGTTCTGATTATTTCAATGAATGCATTTCACCTTTTCTACATCTTTGTTGAAGGATCTTGCCATCAAGGTGCATTATATATCATTTTATAAAGGAACTAGTTCATTTCCAGTTTTAGGACCTGACTCGATAGTGCTGTACCTTGTCAAGTGGGGATAGTATTTTTATTTTCTGTTGGTCGTGACAACAGGTTCATTTGAGAAACTTTGTACCTAATCACACATGGGTTGACTGGTGTCCTAGATACTAATGCCCTTTGGTTTAAAAAAAGCAGTGCCTCTGCGATAACCCACAGAGCTAATGTTGCAGTCACCATATGACTGCAATAGATCAATGCTTTGAATTGTAAATAGCTGCCTGAGAGTTCCTAGAAGAACTACACTGGATCATATTACAAAAAGCAACTTGAGAAGGGTATATATCTGTCCTTTATGTGCTACACAGATCGCTTCCAAAATCCAAGTCATGTTATTGTGAAAGTGATACTTCTAGTAGTTACTCTGCAGCAAGGAGGCTTCTCAGCCCTTTTCTCCTTCTGGGGTTGTGACCTTTCTTGTGAAATGCAGACTGAAACTGTGGGTATTTATGCTTCAGTTGTGTTGGATTGAGCTACAGCAGCATTCTCCATTCAGTGCTGTCCTTGAAGCTCATTCAGGAACTTGGGAAAGTGCACATTGCATCTAATTCCAGTATTTAGTTAGTGGCCTGCCTCCAAATATGTTTCTTGGTATAATTCCAAAATTTCCTGAATTCAAAGGTTTCTTTTAAGACTTTTCTCAAGGACAAGTTTTGTTTGTGGGCAATCTTGTCTCTCCCATTTGGGTTTATCTCTGGTAACCAAAGGAGGGGTTGGCTCTCTGTTGCTAGCTATTGCAGTTCATTGGTTGGAAATGAGAGGCCAACCTCCAACCAGGCAACCTTATTTTAGGAATGGTATCTCTCCATTTTTTGGCTTCCAACTTTCTTAGAAACAGTCTTTCCCTTTCTGGTATTCCCTGGAGCTCTACATTAAGCTGGCAGTGTCAGGTGGAGCATTTGCAACAGGGGTGAGATTTCCAGCCTTCCTTTCTTCCATCAGTCCAGCACTGACAGCACTGTTTGACCTTTGGTGCATGCTGCTGAGCTTTCTACGCTTCCCAGCTTTTCCCAAGCAGGTGATGGCAACTCCCAAGCAGGGGAAGTTTCTTCTTGTTGCCTGGAGCTTTGAGAAGCCTGTGTCAATCTTGTTGTGCTGCATGTAAACTAGCAGAGAGCAACACTCAACATCTTGATCGGAGTTTTTTCAGAAAATGCTTTGAAGTGCTATGCAGAGCCATAAAAGCATTTCCGTAGCTGCTCTAGAGCAGCTAAGAATTATTTAATTGCATTCAAGGCATACAAGTGTGCTGTAGCCCTTTTTCTTCTCTAGGTATTACAGAAGACCGCAGATTGTTTACTTTGGTAGATCTTCCTTTCATCTCTCTTCAGACTCTGAGGTTTTTGCTTTGTCAGCAAAAGTGTAGTGATTTGCAGGCAGTCTCTGGCATGTGTATGTAGTAAATCAGATTCACAGTAAGCACATATTAAAGTGACTTACTTTAGAGGATGACTGTACTTTAAAGTGCAGTCATAGTTCTTCCACCAAGGCAGAGAAAAAGGAAATACGAAGTTAAAAAATAGGAAAGTCAGATAATAATTTTACCTAGCCTTTGTTCCTGGAAGCTGAGAATAAGTTAGTGGTGCAGAGAAAATACATACTTCTGCCCTCTATGTAGTGTCTATCCTGCCTAGAGACTTTCAAAACTGCTTTAGGAAAGGTCCCTCCACTATGTGCAACAACCTGTCTGGTCAGCAAACATAGATGATGAAGGGACACTTTCATACTTGGCCAGCTATGTCAAGCACTGTGCCAATTTACCCAGGTCCAGTAGTTTCAGTGGTAGTTTGAGATGACTTGGGATCTTGTAGAACGTGCCCACAAATGGAGTCCATGTGAGTAATATTCTACATGAAATTCAGTTGGGGTGCTGATCCCATAAATGAACCTCGATCAACGCTGGGAACAGGTCTTCACAGATAAGGCTTACAGAGGCAGCCTGCTTCTCTCACCAACAAAATACAACCCGCAAATAGTAGTTACCCTCATAGAATTAACTCCTAGAAAAAATCATCAGTTTGAGAAGTGAGTCTTGTCCAGACCTAATTAACTGTCTGCAAGGAGTTGTGACAATTGTGTTTGTTTGGTTTCCTTTTGAAGCATCATGTAGGTCTGATATTTTAAACACTGTGAGCAGGTGTCTAATCTCATTAACAGAATTCATTCACTTCATTGCCATTATTAGCAGCATTCAATCTGTAGTTGAATTACATTATATTGTCACAAGAAAATGCAGAATAATAGGTTAGGAAATAGACGGTAAATCCATTGAAAAATGAGTGCAAGGTAGGCATTTTGAATTCTGGAAACAATTGTCAGCACTGCTGTCTAGGATGAGAATGTAGTAGGTGTGGGATGGTAGGAACCTGCTAAATTATGATCGTACCGGACACCATTAAACTCATTCAGGACGTACTTCACATATTCTGCCTTCCTGGTCACCTGCTCTTTCCAGTCAAGTTGAAAACAGTTATTTTTCATGACATTTGTGGATATCTAGAAATTGACTTTTCAAGAACAACACATTTGCATATGTGAAACAATTTTAGGAACATAAATTTGTCTGTCAGGGTATAACATGAAAAATATTTCACACCTTGTGTTTATATATAAAATTCCTTAAGATCAGACCTGTTAAAATTTAGAATTCTTTGTCTTATTAAATCATGCATGTAAGGTTGTACTATTCAACTGTGGTATATAGGTATATTTATGTGGAATAGGTTGATACAGGCATGTTCCTGCTTCAAGCATGGCAAAAAAGGATTTGATGAAATTAGAATTGTTCAATTACTAGAATTGCCCCATGTTTATGTACTGCAGGCAGATACTCACCTAAATGTGAGCTGGCAGTGTCCTGCTGAAAACAGAGCTGGGCTTGACGGGAACCAAAACGACCTGAGGTATATGTCAGTGCTGTCTGCAATCTGTTCCTGAAGACCGCAGTTGTAGCTTCATGGAGACCAATGGGTTGACCAGGAATTTAATGGGATACCATATGCTTTGCTGTGCCCTGCAAATGCCTCTGTGGCACTTCTTTATGGAAAAGAGAGGGGCAGGTGGCATGGAAGCTGTGAGCTGGTGTTTCTATCAGAAGTAATTACTGTCTCCACCACTTGGGTAGTTTTCCAGCTTTTTGAACTTATGAAGTCATACAGAAGAGCTGGGCAGAGCCTTGAAATGTATGTGGAGTACAAAATTCACAAGAGCAGATATTTAGATACTTTTTTTTGCAGATGATCTGTCTACTACTTCTGTGGGGAATACATGCTAGCTGTTTCAGGATAAAAGCATCACTTTTGAATCAGAAGTGCTTTACTATTGACAGCACGATGGAGTGGGTAGTACAAAATCACAGATTGGAAAAGATAAATTGCTTCTTCATAGAGTGTTATTTCAGCTGTAAAATGATCCAAGGGGTTTGCTTTTCGAATGGGTTGTCTAGAAGAAGTAAAAAAAAACCAAACTAGAAGTAGGGAAGGTGTTTCTGCAGACTAACTTCATCTTGCAGTTAATTCTGGAAATTGATTGTGCAACTGTAAAAAACAATCAAAGCTTCCAACAACATGAGATAACTTTAATTGATCATTTGTTTTAAGAGTGATGCAAGCCTATGAATCAGCGAGAGTTGTGTAACATACTTCATACAGTAATTCTAAAAGGGGAGGCTATGTTACTATTATTAGCAGAAGTGTATTAGTATTCGCAGAAGTGCCGGAGCACCAGGCTGGCAGCCAGAAGCCTTATGCTCTTTGGGCTCCAACTGTGCCTTCTTTGTTGGGAAAAACAACTCGGGTAGTGCTGCCTCACTTTCCTTTTCTCTAAAATTTAAATTGTGCAAAGACTGTTTTTTATTGATTCCTTTGTCTTGAGTATGAAGAATTTAAGTCGTTAAATGTTAATACTATATAAGCCAGAGTCCTGTCCACTCGCCGTCGAAATAGAAGGAAAATTTCTCTTGACATCAGTGGACTTGGAGCAGCCATTCATAGAAATCCTGGAGAGTATGTGTAAGCTCTAGTCAGGCTTTTGAGACAATTAACGTAAGTAGTAAGACTTGTGTTTAAAGACTTAAAGGTAACTAGAACTGAAATGCAGGTAACAATTTAGTTTAGCAAATTATTAATGTAGCTGTTCTTTCAGTAGGTTTGAACCTCTTCACCCTCTCCTAAAACTAAGCTAATATGTACTTTAAACTGGATCTTGTTATCCCGCTGCTGTCTGTTTTCATAGGGCTAATGCAGAAGGCCTGCAAATTCACAGAAGGGAAGGCATCGTATTATTTCTGCATTGGGCTTGTTACTCAATAATATATCATAAGGGTGGATTAATTTGCAGTTATGGTAATTGACATTACTTCATTTACTCTAAAATAAAATAAACAGCTTGCTGAAAAAATTGTATCTAATGTGTGACCTGCTTCTTTTACAAGTTCCTAGTGAAGACTGCACTACTCCATGCTCATGGGCCAGTGTGTTGGTGCATGCTGTCCCTGGAGTGATCTATATTCACAGTTCTGTCCAAAATAGCACCCTGTCACCTGAGATACTAAACTAGACATGGAAAGGATCAGGCACTTTGAGCAGCATGTGTAGCCCAACTCTTGCTTGATGTTTTCTTGTGTACTTGAACACGGAAAAGGCACTTAGAGTTGTGAGCCACTGCTACACCCTCCTGGAGACCGTGGAGAACAAGCAGTTAAGTCGTAGTGACCGAGTTTATCTGACTTTTATCAGCCTGAACCTCTAAAAACCTGAATTACTATGAATGTGATCTTAGAGGCATCACTTGCTCTGCTTGCACGATAGACGTGACAGTCTTGAGGGATGTAAGTAGCTTCAGTCTAGCCAATCTTCCTTCATATTGGCAATGCAACAGACAAAACGTCAGGAAACTAGGTATGCTTGTGTCACTGCATCCTTTGTCAGTATGTCCTGAGTAAAGAGCCACCTCTGCATTTGAAGCAAATCCTGTATCACCAAATCTCAAAATGTGAGCTGACATGGAGGCTGTGTCTTGGCGGTGAGGCTGACCATTGTAAACCTAGTGAGATTCTAGAGACATACCTTATAAGCGGGTCCTAGAGGTTCACAGTATGTAACTCTATCCAGAGTTGCATACTGAATGCAGCCTGTAGCATGTTATCTCCTTTAGCCTAGTTTTTGCCATTCTTAGTTTCTTGGGGGGGACATTACTTACTTAGTACGTAGTAGACTTTATAATGTGTTTCTACTGCTTCTAAAGAGGTTCAGTGTCATTGCCCGTGGTAGTTTCAGGTTAGTCAGCGTTGTTGTAATACAACCAGTTAACTTAAAGCTGTCATAGATTATACACTAGTAGATATGCAACCTTGTTTATAGGAAAATATACATGTAAAGTTCTAGTACACCTAGCAGTTGTTGAAGTGATAATTCCGTTACACAAGGATTGTATATCTGTTAATAAACATCAGCTACAGTTTTGAATTTCCTCAAGCAAACAGATGCAAGCCAAGGGTGTTTATTGCTGCAATGGTTGTCTTTTCCAGATCTGTGCTTTAGTGTAGAACATATCTGTTAACTTTCTTTTCCAAAGATGGGTCCCAGTCATTAGCCTGTACTGTAGTAAGTAGTCCTGGTATTCAAAGGGGGCAGCTGTGCTGCCAAATATAGCAGGGATTACTTCATAAGGCTTTTATTTTGGTAGTCCTCAGTGCAGTTTTATTATGGAGCAGTTAGACCCAGAGGTGTTGATTTTATTCAAATACTTTGTAGTGATAACAAATACTCTGATTCTGTCACATACGGTCAGGATATGGTAGTGCATCTATCAAATGAGCAGGAAACCCTGTTGTATAATACTAAGAGCAGAGAAAACCTAAATCATGCTAACCAAGTCTTTTATTCTGTTTCAGTGTCGCCCATCCAAAGGCCAAAAAAGAGGTTATTGCTGGTGTGTGGATAAATACGGGCAGCCACTTCCTGGGTATGATGGGAAGGGAAAAGGAGATGTCCACTGCTATAACTTGGAAAGCAAATGAGGGCTGGGTGCCAGCTCTTTTGGCATCTGGGCGTGGCCACTGGACCTCACAGAGACCTTGGAGGGGCTGGGCAAACACTGTGGACTGCATTGCGCGTGGAGTAATGAGCTCTGCTTCTGCAGCAGATGGAGAGTTGCAGCCTCTGCAGATGCTGCTGCAGCTGCATCCTGCCACCAACATGCACTGAGCTTCCTATAGGATGGGTAGGAGCTCTGAAATCCCATGTAAACGTGCACTATTGATACCCAGAGAGAGGAAAAACAAAAGGCACTTCAGAATGGATTCAGGGAGTCTCCACTTACTTTTTAAAGAATGGCCTGTGACCAATTTGATCCTGAAAGATACTGTTGTTTTTTTTTTATTTTATTTTAAAGAATTTATAGATTTTAAGCTTGTAGAAGTATTAAAGAAAAAAGACCCACAAAACAACCAAACAAAAAAACCATACAAGGATTTAAAGGTAAGGTGTTTTTTACAGGTCTGATGGGAAACTTGTCTTCACGGGTAAAAAGTTTTATAAAAATCTCAAAGAACTTTTTAAAGAAATGTATTTCTAGAATAAAGACATGGCTATTTTTTCTGTAAAATATATTATGAATATTCTGTTAGTTTGTATTTAATATAATTGTTTTTTAATAAACTTTATTTAAATGTAACACATGAATACCAAATATTACATGGTAATTCTAGTGTATACTTCTGTATGCAAAGAGAAAGCAAGGGTATGGAGTGACTTACAAATATGTTTAAATCCATATACATACACACTGACCTATTCTAGATAATAGAAATTAATTTGTGGAGCAAAGGAAGTGTTTCCAGAAGAGTTTGAGATTTTGTGTATTTGATATAACTACAAATACTAAGATAATTTTTTTAAATTATTGTTATTTCTAATTGTTATTTTCTAATGTACCCATCACTGAATTTTGCCACTGGAAAAGGATAACTGTTGCACTGAAGCTCTTGGTAAAGCTTTCTTCTGTCTTTTGCTTCAGTTTGTGCAACAGGGCTTACATTTCCTTCATTTCCTGCTCACACTAATACAGAATATTCATGGACAAAAAAATTGCCATTACAGTACCAGCCTTTATTTGCTTATTTATTTTGAAAAGGTGTATCTGTTCTGTGTTGTCTTGGTACATTCTACCAAAGCACATACTCTGTATGAGGAACTCCTGTTCAAAACAATGCTGACAAGATGGGGGGATTGTGGGCCCTGGGTGTTGAGACACTTCATTTATGCTACACACAATTGTTGCTTGATTTGACTACGGTAGAAATCATTTGCCTGCATCTAAGCACCATTGAGTTTAAATATTTAAACCAGCTGTCTTCCATGGTGTTATATATCTTTTTAATTGGAAGAGAAATGATTTGGTTTTGTTGTGGTATGTGATGCTTTCACATAAGGAAGGCTTTGGCAACGTTCTTTTTTTGAGGCTGATTGTTTACTGAACTTTGTGGAAAATTCTGTATGACAATGAAATCTGGATAATGAAAGGTGGACTGTGAAATGTAACATCTCTGGAAAGTAATGCCATATTTTGTATATGTATTTATTTATATATTTTATATAAATATTTTATATATTTATATAAATATATATTCTTATATGTGTCACTATAAATGTTTGATGTCACTGTAGAAAAAAAAAGCCATCAACTCTGTAGTTTCTTGTTGAGTTGGGAACTCTGTGAAGACTGAGGACAGTGGGTTTCACACTGATGGGTCAGGGATTGTGTGATGGAAGAGAGACCATGGGGCCAAGGAGCTCGTTCCTTGCCCACTGCATGAATTACAACCGTCCTTTTTCCTGCCAGCAATGGCAAATGTCTTGAAGCTCTGACAGGGAAAGATTTGGGTTTGCAGCTCTCCAGGATTGAGGCAGCCGAGCACCATAAGTCAGATGTTTAAAGCCTTACCATTAATGTGTTAGCTGAACAGTCCTATGTGCGTTCTGCACATCTTTCCAATTTGTCTAATTAAATGAGTTCACATCATGATGAAAACTGAAATTTTATAACGTCAGAGTAAGAAAAAAAATGTACATGAAGTGATGCTTACTGCAGGCTAATACAGATTTCCTGACAGATGATTACATAAAGCTTTGTAAGGTGAAGATTTATTGCAATATTTTTGTTCTGAAGCAAATGTAATGCCTGCAAAGATTTGTTGGCAAAGTAATAAGTGCTGGGCCTTTTTTTTTTTTTTAATTTGTAAACCAGTTCCTTTCAAATAATTTCACAGAGAGAAGAAAGTTATATTTACACCAATATTTGGGCATAACCATAGATAGAAAAATAAGAACTGAGTTAATCAAAACGAGTATTTTACCTCTTTTTTTAATTGCTATCTGGTGAGCCTTCTGAAAACAAAAGTCAGTTTCTTGTCAAAAGTGGCCTTGCAAGCCACATTTTGCAAGTATGCAAGAGATGTTTTAGCAACCTGTGACAAGATTTCTGATTTGGGTATTTTGTCAAGTATTTAAGCTTTTTATGTTTTTCCCTGCCATTTAAAACAGAGAAGAAGCTGACTAGTAAAGGTCCTTAAGTGATATTTTTTTATAAAAAACCCAAGGAAACTACATCTCAAGGAACTCAAACTGATTCAAGCAAGCAATCTGTCACATGAATTATTTAAGAAATGACATTCAGCTCATTTGGGTCAGCTCCTCCTAATGGTCTTTAGTATGTAACAGAGGAAACATACAGCCACAAGGGGGGAAAAAATTAAAGAATTGCATGGTTGTGCAAGTCAGTTTTATTATTTTACTTCCAACAGATGTCTTTAAAACAAAAATTGTGTGCAAAAATAGCCCCCCTGCAAAAAAAATTCTCACCTTTAATTTAAAGCTTCCTCCTTTTCAGAAATTGCCTTTTAAATATATTTTACAAACACAGTTGCTTGCACTGGTATTAGATACTGGCCATTGCCAATCTGCTGTTCCTATCAGTTAACATTGGTATGAAATTGGTATTCAATGCAAAATAACATTATTATCCCCCCTCAAAAATTTAACTTTTTAAAATTAAGAGAATCAGTGGTGACTTTTTCCTTTTTTTTTTTCTTTTTAACATTCCTAGTTCTGTGAAGACAAGGGTTCCATTCAATAGACAAGAGTACTTGTCATTTGAAGATTTTTCTTATGGCTTATGGAGCCAGGCTGCAATTCAGACAAATATATTTGTGATCTACATCCAAACAGCAGAATGTGGGCAGCATGAAGCAAATATATGGGTCAGTATCAGTTCAGAGGAAGATGAGTTTCCTCCATGCACAGGTTAGAAATTATTCCTGCTAAGAGCTGCAGTGAGGGGAGAACTTTGGGTTTGGTGACAGAAATGGAACCAATGCATTAGAAAAATACCTCTTGTCTTGGTGCCTTCACTGCCTGCAGTTCAGGTGGTATATTTCATTAATTGAACAGCTTTTTTCTAGTTTTTAGTAAGCTCTTTCAAGAATCTCATGTGATCTGGGTTAATATTAAGAAGTCTCAGAAAAATCATTTGAACAGCAAACATTATTTACACCTCAAATATTTGCCTGGCAGGGCACTACAAAAGCTCCAAGTATGTACTGCAAAACTTGCTGATTTCTTTTTGAGCACATTTGGTATGTTGCATGGGTACCATATGTAGCCCAGATTGATGTGGTAAGTATTTATTTTAACAAGTGTAATAAATAGTTGCATAAATCCCTGTAATTGACCGTTGACTTTAATGCAAGTTAAAGCTGGCTGCAGGCAGCTCTATTATCTTAAAAATTATTTGAAGAAGTTCTCTTTTTTTTAATAGATGTACTATGCTATAGTTTTTGAACTCCAGAATATCCTTTTCCACGTTTTTGACATACACACCTTTCAGGTCATAGTGTTAGCTATTTGTGCACTAGGGAAGGAGGCTTCAATGAATACCAAAACCACATAATTAATTCATTTTTAATACAGTCTGAACTTTTTATGACTAAATTCAGTAGAAACCTTAACACAGCATAATTCCTTGTTGAACTGAGCCCTAAATTTAAGCAATGGTTTTTGAAACCTTTTGGGAAATCATTTTTGTGTATCTCTAGTCACTCTAAAACTCCGTAAGCAAGGATGGCTCCTCAGAGATTTCGCATACTAGCAATAGGAATTATATTTAAAGTATGGAAAGTACTGAGCAATTTTTGTGTATGCCAAAGCATATTAGTATTCCAAATGAAATGTTTATATAGGTAGCTGTTTTCTACATGGTCCTGCTGTGCCTTTAGAAACCCTTCACTTCTATTAATTTTGATCAGAAGAATATGCTTGCTTCCTACATTAGAAGACTGACTCCTTTTTCTTCCCGAACTCTGACTTTTTTTTTCTGAGATATCCAAAAATAAGATCCAAAAAGGATATCACAGTATTCCAAGGGCAAGTTTTTTTGTGGTTATTATCAGTAATGACTTCATCTGCAAACATGAAATATTGGTTTTGTTTAAGGCCATTAGAAGAGAAGTCTTTTGGTATGTCCAGTGGATCTAGGTATCTTCTTATAACTGGAATGTATTTAACCGTTTGATTTTGGAGTCTCCATCCCTGGAGGTACTAAAAAGCCGTCTGGACATAGTCCTAGGCAACTGTTCCCTGCTTGAGCAGGGCGGGATGGACCAGGTCCCCTCCAGAGATCCCTTCCAACCACAACCATCCTTTGATCCTATGAACCAGTCAGGATGTACCAGCTTGGTGTCCTGAGTTTGTCCCAGTACATGAGATTGTCTACATGATACAATGCATTGATTGAGAAAATGTTACCCCTTTTTCTGCCAGAAAGGAAATTTCCTGGTAAAATGGCAAAGTAGTGCAAATTTTTTTTCACCAGAAGAACCTTTAGTTTTAAAACTCTGCATTTTAGGTGTTACAGCTTCCAGTTCGGATTTTGCAGCTTTAGAAGCTGGTGTATACCAGCCTTAGAGAAAATCCCATTGAAAAAGCTTTGCTTCTGCTTTTATGCTGTACATATATTAAAAATACAAATGACTTCAAGGCAACTGAAAAAAAATGGAGACCAGGTATTAACAGAAGCAGAGGGTAATGCTGCAAATCTCAGTTTATCCTTGCAGAATGCATGTTCTGCTCCTCTGTGTATCCTGGCTCTCCACTTCTGCTGACCTATCCAAATTCCTTAAGAGCCTTTCTCTGTCATGGCTAATTTCACCCCACTGCTCTCTCCATGAGTGGGTATGGAAAGAAAAGCATCAAAATTATTGCTGCAGAGAGAAGCTGAGATTTCCTCCAGAAAAATCTGTTAACCTGGAAAAAAGATCTAAAGAAAATGTCATTGAGAAGGACTGCTTCCCACAGCCACGTGTGGTAAGACCTTCCAAAAGTGAGGTAGTGGAGTGACTTGCTTATGAGAGCCAAGCTGAGAGTGCATTTCCCTCATTTCTTGCAACTGGAGGGCAGAGGCTATTTTTGCCTGCTTATGTCATACAGAGACTATTCAAGGTAAAGACTTGTTTCCTTTGTCTGCTAGCTATCGTGTAACTTGCACCCAGTAAAAAAGACCTAACTGACTGAGCTTGAAAAGCTGATTACTGTTTTATTACATGGGTGCTGAAAGCAGTCTTCAGCCCTCAGATGCTGCCATACAGTTGCTATTACTGCACGTTACCCCTACATGTTGCTGATCTTTTTTTTCTGTTCCCTTGATGGAGCTAAATGGTGAGAGCTCAGTTGCCTGCAGCAGAAGCTGCAGGTAAAGAAAAAATATGAAAGAAGATGATGACATAGCCAGCATTTTCTCTATGTGTCCAGAGACATCCCACACTAAGCATCTACGCATCAGCCTGATGAACTACAAAGCACCATCAGTGAGAGAGAAAAAAATCATGTCACCCTTGGCATAATTGCCGAATTAGAAACCTCAGTGTAGGCACAAATAGGCTGCTCTTTGTTAGCTTAAGAGCAGTCGGAGGAGACTGAGAGCAGAAGGACAACTGCCCATGCTGTGTTCTGCATGGCAAAATGGCAGGAAGGAGGCTCTGCTGGAAAAGGGAAAGTCTGTTGATCAGACACTGTCCCTGATGGGAAATGTGGTTGGTAAGGAAGCGGCAAGGAGCCAAGCATTTGCGCAGCCCTGCCTTCCCCTGTGTGCCTTGTCTTTGCTGTGCTACCCATGCTGCCACTAATACGTGATAATCCAAGAGGGAGTATGAAAAGATGAGCAGAAACTTTTCAAAATTAAACAGCCAAGATGTGGAACTGACTAAATTTAGATTTTTTCATTTGAACTTACTTCAACATCCATGACAAGCACCCTTACTCCTCCTGCAGGAGGCTACCCCTCTCCCTGAGGGTAGCCTCACAGTAGCTTACTTGCAGATGAACTTTACACCCTGAGGGAGGAGGTAGGTCAAGAGAGGAGGAAAGGAGGGAAAATAAAATAAAGCCCTAGTTTGTTGAGAGAGCTATTGTCAGAGATGTTTTCATTACTCAGAGTGCAAGTGCTGGTATGTCTGGGCTCCTGCTCCACTGCTGTTGTTTTTGGTACTTTTTGGTAATACAGAGTGAACTGGCTGCACTCCTAGCAGACCCTCTCCTTCTTTGTCCCCTCCCACCTTTACCTTAGTGTGACTAGATAATATAGGGTGGCATTTCAGTAAGAGAAGCCTTCCACTTGCACCAGCTCTGGTACTGTTACTCAATATATACTATCTACCCAAATGTTAGAATGTCAAATGTGCTAAACACAATTTGGTGTTTATTAAGTTGCTCATACCCCACTTTCCTGTGCAGTCTAAATACCTACCCAATTCTCGATGCAATGTACAACAACCATAAATGCAAAATGTGTCAATGGACACACGCATCTCTTGTCAGTGCAGCCTGGGGAGACTGTTTAGGCTAGTGGTTTATCAGTGGAGTGATAGCCGAGGAAAAGTAGACCAACCTAAAAAGTGGTGTGTAAAAATAGGCATAGAACTTGACCGCTCAATATGCAGCATGGGCTAAAAGTCTAGCTTGAAATGAGTCACTTGGTTCTTTTTTTTTAAACAGGGATTTTTTACTATTATTATTATGGGTTGGGCAGGGATTAGACATCAGCGTTGTTCTGCGATAGCAAAGCAGTGACATGGGTATAAAAAATAGCATTTATAAATCTAAAAAGTCGATGCTGCTAGACTGCTGGTAAAGCACAAACATCTTTTGTTCTGACTTTGCAGAAAAAACTGCTCTGTTTTAGCATTTTGTTTGGGGTCCAATGTAATCTCTAGTTCTGTGGGAGCTGAGTGCTTTCCAGGAATGCACTAAATCCTGTGACAAGCCTCTGGCGTGTGCCATTCTTTATCATCCCGCTTTTCTTCTCCGAGGAAAGCAAGCTATATGTAATGCATTTTTTCTGTTTGTATTTTTATTTTGGTCTGTGTTTAAGACTCTCATTAGCAAGTGCAAGATCGAAGGAATATGTTTGTTTTGTAAAGGAAAAGGCTAAATCTTCATGTGCTCAATATCTAATTGCACTTTGGACTGGGTCCCTGACTAAGTTTTTGTCTTTTCAAAGCATGTATTCTTATGGTAGAAAAGTGACAGGGATGCTGACGAGCCTTCAGTGTTGGAGTAGGCTGCCCTTCACCACCATTTTCTTTCTCTCCTCCTTTCTCTCCCCTCACCTTCTGCCAGCTCTAGCCGACACAAATGTGTCTCTGCTGTACACCAAAGTGATAAGCAGAATTGACTCAGTATGAGCAGGGCCCAATATCAAGTGATTTTAGGTTGTCTTGGACAGCTTCAGGGGGAAATGGAGGGTAGAAAATGTAGTGCAGAAGGCAGTGACCTCACTTCTGTGCTATGAGCATTTTGCAGCTGGCAGTAAGCCATGGGCAGGAGGAGGCATAGCTGGAACAAACCCTGCTGCAGCTAACCTGGCAGGGCTTTGGCAGGAAGAAGCACAAACTGGGTGGGTAGGGTTCTCGGATAACATGAACCAAACATTACACATATTCACTTAAGACCTTCCCACCAACTAGTTTTTTTTTTAGGTAGAGTAGAAGTGCAAGCAGATATGAAGGGAGGGAGCTAGATTAATGAGGAACAGTACATCCCCTTTATACATCCAGCTGCATGCCAGGTGACCTGAGCTGCTAAGAGAATCCTGTAGCACCTTTCTTGCCTTTCTTATTTGCGCGCTCATTCCCCTCAGGCTTATCTTGCCAGTGCAGAAGGGACCTTTGCAACAGCCACACATTGAAGCCAGGACTGCTGGCTGACACATGCCAAAAAAAAAAAAAATGCAAAACCAAAGTGCCCTATGAACAGTAAAACAGGAAAACTGCAGACCTTCGATTTTTCACCCTGATCATTGAGGTTGATCATAAAAATTAGGACAAATCACGACATGTCATCTATGGTCCAAGCTCCTGGCAGCAGTGTGATAGACGATGTAAAATTTGCTTGCTTTGCCTCCTTGCATTAGTCCTAATCCCAGTATATGGAAGAGTCTGGCCCAAGTCAGACAGCCCACTCCAGAAAAGCTCAGCAGACATCTGTCCTGGTGAGTCCTGGCAAGATGTCACGAGGCCAGATTGTAGATAAGGAAGCACCCCTTCCCTGCTACTTTTAGTAGGAGGTAAGGGGCTAACCCCCTCTGAGAAACTGGTCTGTCATGCCTGGTGTATGAAGTAACTTGTGTTTCTGGTACTTAACAATTAAAGGAAAGAGTTCATCTAAATCCCTGTCCCTGTTGAAAACTAATTTCTTGCAGCTAGGATGGGAACCTGTCACCCTGAAAAACACCGTAAGTAGCTGTCCACTGGATTACTATACCACAAATAGACTATTAAACATTATTAACATTATGAACCTTTCCCCTATATATATAAAGATCCCAACAAAAAGAACTAATTTCTGCTCTTTAGATGTCAACCTTTACATAAGGTCTATGGGGTGAGAGCAGTCAGAGTGCTTTTAAGTGTGTCCTGTATCTGTGAGTTTTTGTATTCCCTGCCTTTCTTCACCATTTTCCCTTGGCAATGCCACACGACAGTTGTTCAGTGCTGAGTAGACTCCATGAAAGGACTACAAAATTCTGCCCAAATTTGCTGCTTCATTATTTTGGTATAGTGATTGCCAAGCATTTTGACACAGTGAATGCCACTACATAGTTTTAGCTGGGTCTCGCAGGAGCTCATTACAGGGAGGTTAGGCATTTGTTACTTATACCAATGCCAACAACTGTTTTTACGTGCTTTCCTTGGAAAGATCTCAAAAAACTCCACAAAGAAGGTCAGTAGTATACCCATACTTTTAAATTTGGATTAGTTTAATACACCCGAGTTGGATCAGCTGACAGTGACATGCAGATACAGCCAACACATTCAGCAGGTGCAACATACAATGCCACAGAAACATGATCAGGAGAGCAGAGATCTCCACGCTTTGGCTTTGCAGTTTCTACAAGCTGCTTCCCTCTCCCATTTAAACCCCAAATCTTGTGCCAATAAATGGCAGGAGGATTTTACGCTGAGTTTCACTCCTGCCAGCTCTCCTCTCCTGTTATCACTCTCCTCTCAGGCTGTTTTCCTAGGAAGGGTTAGTGCAGCCTATTTTCACCTCTGGGACTTGCTAACTCCCACACCAGGTTTTCCATGGACAAACTCAGCCTGAAGCTGTCATGGCAGTTACTTACATTCTCTTTTTCTCTGCAACTACTCAGTCAAAGTAACATGTGGGGAAGGGAAAGGGACCATATCCCAAGCCAAGGGGACCCTCTTCTCTGCTTTCAGCAAAAAGAGTTTTTCCCCAGCCTCCCTTTTGCAACCTCTGACTTTCTGTGCAGGAAATTACTCTTTCTAGTCTTGATGTTATCTTTTAAATACACTAATGCTGCTGCCTTGGGCTTTTGAGTGAAGGAAGGCATTCAGCTTTCCTATCCAGAAAGCCTTTTAGTAACTTCCCTTGGAGGCTGAAATTTTGCCCAAGGCTTGCAGAACACAGCTGGGATTGGAGAGGGCAGTAGAAGAGGAATGGGACAGGGAGAGCAAAAGAAGAAAACTCATTTCAGGAAAGGAGATCGGCATTCAGGAGGCAGATTTGCAAGAGTTTTGTCTGTTTTCTTGCTTAGGTCAGACTGTTGAATGGGACCATGCAGAAAACAAGAGACAGGGACAAAGCAGAAGACATTATTTAATAGTTCATCTTAAATAACATGACATTGTCAACATGTGAATGACTTACACCTGTCAAAGGTGGTGCAGAATATCCTGTTGCGTTTTGCCATTCATCCAGTGCATATATTTGAAGAATAGATACAAATACTGTCCCATCAGGAGCTCCAGTATACAATTAAGGTTTAGACTTTCTTTTTTGAGAAACAGCTTGACATTGAAACAGAGGTGCAAAAGTAACAGGATATATATGCAAAACAGGTTTTAAGTAAGTTTCTAAGCATGCTCTCTACTGAAGTTTATTTTTTAAAATTCAGTTTGACGCTATAAATACATAGTATAAAAAATGCAATTTTACAAACAATTTTCCCAATAGTATGCCATTTGAAGTCTTAAGTAGCAACATTCCTCCAACATATGTTGTATACATTTAAGAGCAATAATATTAAGTATTTACATATCAAGTTATGAAGAATGTTACATATCATGTTTGAGAATATAAATTAGTAACAACACATAGAGACAAAAATACATGTACTGTGAAATAAATAATTCAACAGCTTTACATGTGAGGATATCTATAATATTATAAGAACAAAATATACAAGATTATAGAATTTGATCTTGCAGTTGCTCATATTTGTCACTTGAGCATCTAGGCAATCTCAGTGCAGTAAAAATGTTACTTTATGGCATTACTCATACATTGAAAATCAGGTGCACAGAACTACATTAGTGAAATGGCTCCTGACTGGAATGGCTCCTGACTAGAACAGGCCCTCAGAAAACTTGGTTTTATGCTTGGGAGTTGAGGTACTGTTGGCATTCTGGGTCTCCTTTAATTTCTGGAGATTCAGGAATTCGTCTGCCACTTTTTGGATAGACACACCAGCATTCAGCAGACTCTCCATCCAGTAAAGTTTCGCACTAGAATATTATTAGCAAAACAAAAATGACAGTAAGTAACTGTAAGCAGAAGATTATCTGTGAGATACTGCAAGTAGAGGTGTTGGACAGAACTAGGATCAGAAGGTGAGGACCTGCCATGCACAGACTTGTTTTGAATGCAGTGGTCCACAGAGCCTCTTGAACAACAGGCTTGGCTAGGGAGCCAAGACCCAAGCTCAGCTACCACAAGAGCAACTTCAGATTTAAAACTGCCCATTCCTTAGCAAACAGTAGTAGAAAACAGCAATATCTTCCAGCATGAGAAATGAAAGGATGGCAGAATTTACAAGCTGGTAGGGTGAGAGCAGTGGCTGAATAATCTGGCTCTTAATGCAAGGAGGCAAATAAGGTGGTGTGGGTTGTTTTTTCCTTAGGGAGGGAGTTAAACAGATTTCTGTTTGTGCTTGATTAGATCCCAAGGTCACAGTGTTTGTGAGTCACATCATTATGCCATACCCCAAAAGAAGGAGTCTCGGTGACACAGATTTATGCAGACCTACTAAATTTGTGTGCATGAACTGTGTTTACAAGGTATGGCTTGAGGTTTGGAGCTTTAGTTGGGTTTGCAGATTAGTCTCACTTTAACTTGCAATGGCTTTTTTTGAGGGTATAATGGAAATGAGCAAATAAGCTAGTCCACAGGCAGCACAAATCAGTATTTTTTTTCTGCTTTACAAGGTTAATTTTGCTCCAAAGAGGTTTTTTTCACTGCCTACGTGAGTTTCCATTGCCTGGGAGCTGAGACTCCCCTTTACATAGTGATTATTATACATTCAATAGGCTTTGGCAGGCAATATAGTGGATATAATGAATTAATATCAACTGGAACTATGCTAACAAATCAGGTACATGGAGCTTGATTTGGCCTGGGAGCAGATAGGGTTAAAATATTTTAGAGAAGGCTTTGAGTGCACCTGTTCTGTGAATGGAAAAGACTCCTACCTCCATTGCTGTCAGCTCCCAGCATGCGGCTCACTTTAAAGAGAAGGACAAACCATCTGCTCCCACTACAAAATATCCCTGTTTTCACAACCTGCTTGTCCAGCAGCTGCAAACGTGGGAGTTTGGGAGCAGAGGGCTGTGAAAGGGTTGGCTGTATCAGGCTGGTCTCAGCGCTGCTGTGAGTAGATAGGGGAAAAAAAGCATGCACCTGTTTGCTGTGGTAAAATCCATTCTTGTTGCAGTTGGGCAAATAGAATTTGTAAATCTCCCCTCCACTTCTCTGCTGAGCCTTCGCCAATCTATACAGGGCTCTGTAGAGCTCCTTCTGACAAGGACCCTGCAAGAATACCAGGCACAGGTTGTAAATACCAAAATCACAAAGAAACCAGCTAAACAGAAAGTGATCAAAATAAAGCTAGCAAAAAGATGAAAATTAGGCATATAATCTGTACCAGACTGTTTTTCATATAGTTTTCCTTGTTTCAGGAGGAGCACAGCCAGAAAACTCTGGTCTTGCATTTAGACCTTTGTTTTTATTCTTTGAGGTATTTTCTTTAAGGATTTTAATCCTTAAATTGCCACACAAGGAAATTTAACCTGTACTAAGTAAACACATTACTGCTCAGAGGGTACAATCTCTCCCTATTATGGGGAGGTGCACGTTAAGAAACTGGTACGTGAGGCTTGCCACGTTTTCGGGGTTGCCATGGCCCTGTGCTCTGTTGATATATGGAGAATAGGTACAAGACATATATAGAGGGTGCAAGAACAAACATTTGAATGTTTGTTATCTTTTGTACAGGACAGAACTGTTGCCAAAGCAACATGGAGCCATCTTGTAACTCTGGGACCAAAACCCAAAGTGCCTGGAACTGAGGATGAAGAACTGTTTGCAATATTAATTATTTTCACATTTTGCTGGCTCTCTTTTTCAAAGGCACAATCGCTGTGCATCAACAGTACCTAATATGTTTAAGTCACTGCAAGGAGAGGAGAAGTGGCTGAACAAATATTTGTACTTTAGAGTAAAAATAAACATAGCCTCTGCTTTTACAAAACCTCCCCATGTCAGCCCCTCATACAAGCTGTCTTATTCCAGTCAACTGGTTTATCTGTGACTCTGGGTGAGAAAAGCAGAAGCCCTAAAATTCAGAACTGGAGCTAACAGCACGTGTACATAACAGTTCAAACTACATCAGTGATTAAGTCCTGTTCTGGATATGGAAATGAGGCTTCCTACGGTAGGGTGATGATTAGTAGGTTTTTGCTTTTTCTTTTTCACTTTGTCAGTGACCATTATGAACCTGGGCTCCTGTGGTGCCCGACCAACTCCGTTTCGTAAGGCAGGGGTGGTGCTGCCAGGGACGGGTCTAACCCAACGGTTCTCTGCTGCCCTCAAGTGGAACACAAACACGCTTGCAAAGGTCCTATACCTCCACTACCTACTGAGATTTTGCAGTGTCTAAGCATACTTTAATTGTTGAGCTTTTTGTCTTTCTACGTTCATGTAATTGACATAGAAAAACACATTTTGGTTTGCATTGGTGTTTCGTCAATAACTATGTGGAAGGACTCCTTTTTATTTCACTGTGTGTTGGACCAGTGAAAAATGCCTTTTTTAAAAAATTAAAGCACAAAAGGAATCCCAGATTTTAATATGGGTTCGTGTAAATTAAGGGGCCATCTGATAGTAAATGCAGTGAAAAGTTCAGCCTCTGCACAGTCTGTGTAGGACATATCTGATGCATGCCTGTTTTTATCACTCCATTTTGCCATTTTGCTTGTTCCTCAAGCACCTGATGAAGATATTCCAAAAGTCTGTTTGCCATCTTCCCAAAATACTGACATCTCAGTGTTACTGCTAGAATTTCATGCACATTTTCATTTCGTATTCTGAATAAACAGCATCTACTGAAATGGTCTCTGAAAGGTTTCAAAGAAAACCCACCTGCTCTTTCCATGTCTTGAGTTCAGATATTCTCTTTGCTTTCATGTTTTCATAAGCAGTGATGGCATTCCAGGGAATAGACTTATCCTGGCCCATGGGAAACATTAACTGATAGTTCAGCAGCTGATCCTGTGTTATTTCAGTGCTTTCCAAAGGCATATCATCAGGTTCGACAGGGTCTGGAAATGAATGATATTAAGGTAACCATCTTCAGTGAACTTTTGCATTTATTTCTCACAGTTAAAAAGGTGAAGAACAAGAAGAAGAATCAACAACAAAAAAAAAAGTAATATCTAAGATCCATTTCAGTAGATCTTGTAGGAATAATAAATGGCAAATTAAACTTTGGTCATAAGTTCATAGAAGGACTCATCAGTTATTCTCTAACAAGGCAGTTATTTTATGATCCTTTCAAATTACATGAATCCCAAAGATGAGCGGCAGCAGTCTGCTAGAAACAGAAAAACCTTCTTGACCGCAGTGGGTTGTAGAGACTTGGTTAAATGAGGAAAGACTGAAGTTAAACTTCCAATGAATTTAGATGTTTGTCAGTGTGATGTGTTTGTTTTTATTCATGAGGGGAACTGGTCCAGACCTCATCCCATGGTAACCTGTACCTTGTTCTGTTTCTTGCCTCACATACAAGAAGGAGTAGCAATTCCCAGGAGCCAGCAGTAGCTCATGCTGGCCTGTGGTGGATCAAATAGCCAGGGATTGGCAGAAGCCTAATCGTAGACTGTATGCCAGTACCTAAATCAGCATGTGTGAACTCTCCCACTTAAAGCAACAGAAGCTCTTTCCAGGGGACTCACCACAGGATAAAATTTTTATGTGTCTAAATCACTTGTTGGATCAAGGCTGTAAACAGACAATGGACTAAAAAAATACCCTTTGACAATTTTTAAGAAAAGATGGAGGTGGGAAATTGAAGAGGGAGAGGGAGGAAGTGAGGAAGGGAGGAAGGGAGGGAGGGAGGGAAGGAGGAAGGAAGGATAAAATTAAATTGAATGCAAGTGGCTTAAACTAAAGTTTAGTGACGGTTTCCTGTCCTCCCTACCCCGTCAAGTAAAAGAGAAGTTCCACTTACTTCCACTAATTTTTTTTTTTTTTTTAGTCAATGACGATTATTTTTGTAATGCTACTGAGTTACCTTAATCACCACTTTGTGAACATAGCAGTAATGATGATGAAAATAATAATCATAATAAATTGGAAAAATAATGACATAATGGGGACCCCTGGTGGCCTAGTGGTTAGCATGCGGGACTCTCACCGCTGCAACCCAGGTTTGAATCCCAGTCCCCCAGGCAGATGGAGCTTGTTAGGCCTGTGAGGCCATCCATCTATGAGAAGGTCACTCTAAACAAACCTACATCCTGAGGACCTCTGCCATTGTCCAAGCTTGCTTGGCCCCGGCAGATGAACCTTAGGATTAAAGGGTGGGCTCAGTTCAGCGCATGCTGTGTCTCACCTAAAAAATCCATTGCGCAGGCTTGAAAGGTAAAAGACCTTTCCCAAAATCTTTGTTCGCGAAGACTGGCCATTATTAATGACATAACACTGGAGAAATTCCTGAGTATCATATTGTATAAGATGCTTGGGATGCCTTTTTTCTTAAAGATAGTTTGGCTAGCACTACACTACTCCAGATATATTTTATTCATGAAACGAAGTCAGGCACCAAGCCTGTTTAGTCTTTTCATTCTTTATCATGACTTTTGGAGATGGACATAAACAAAGCCTAGAAAACATTTGTCCTGCTCTAGTTACTGTTCATTACTAAAGAGAAGCTGTCTACAGCTTCCCAGAAACCTGGGAGATTATTCTGCACTGTGCCATCACTACACTTTAGGGGTTTCGTGCTCGCAGCCAGTAGCGTAACAGCTTGTTGCAAACATTTCTTGGCTCCCCATCAGGATGCTTCTCGCCTCGAACAGGTCAGAGCGCGTTTCCCCGGCAGATGCACTCAAGCTTCCCTATTTTTCAGACGCCTGCCTTACTTCGCTCATTGTTCCCGGCTCCTGGCTCCCGGCAATCGCAGCGCCGTCGCCGGCTCCGGGGCATCGCGCCCGCTGAGCCCCCCGGCTGCCCCTGGCGCGGTGCCGCAGCGCCCGGCCCGGCGCGTTCCCTGGCGCGGAGCGGAGCGGGGACACGGGGACGCGGTACCTGCCGGCTCTTCCGTGCGTATCCCTCCGACCTCGCTGGCGGGCAGGCACGTCCCGTGCCCCTGGATGAGGGCAGAGAGGGGCCGGGGCTCCCCGGCGGGGACGTGGCAGCGGAGCCCCAGCCGGCAACGGGCCGTGTAGACCCCGCAGGGCTGTCCTGGCCCGAGGGCGCAGGTCTGGCAGCAACCGCAGCCGGGTTGCCGGGCCGCCTCCGGGCAGTCGGACGCGACGGGCGGGCAGAGCGCGATCCTGTCCGGACTGCACGGGGCGCAGCGCACGGGCTGCCCGGGGGCCGGGCGGGGACCCAGCAGCGCCGGCAGCAGCAGGGCCGGCAGCCAGGAGCGGCGCAGCACAGACCGCAGGCGACCCATGCTGCTGAGGAGGGAGCGCGGGAGGGCAGCTCGGCGGCCTGGGGACCAGGAGGCACTTTGCATACATTCGGCTCACCCGGGTCATTTATACAGCGCTTTGCCTGGCTATTAATCTTTAACCCCGAGTTAACTATTATCTGAACAGGAGGGCTGGAGAAGCATCATTTCGCTGGCGGTTCAAGTCCCCGGCCACTCTTCCCCTCCCCTTTTACTTTCCCCCTTTATCTATTTTCTTTCCTCCAGACATGAAGGAATGCTTTTATTCCCTCACCCCCACCTCTCTGCACCAGCACAATTAACAAGGAAATATGTAGTGGGGGTTGGAGGTGAAATTGGCAGAGGGCAATAGAGGAACGGGGGGTATCCTCTGCCCTTTTGCCTGTCACGAATGCGTCCTTTTCTTGACATTTCATAAAAGTGTAAATGTTTAAAAAAAAGGGGGGGGGGAAGGAAGGAGGGAAATCCCGTTGAAACTGAAGCAACTGACTTTGTATTTCCACAGCAACAAATGCAACAAACCCTTGTTTAATTTTTGTCATGTGGCTGCAGGTTAGTACACTGACATACCTGAGGAGGCCTCAAGGGTAATAAAGCCATGAGGATCCTATAACCACTGCACACATGCACGTAGGAGTCTTTGCTAGGAGTCTTTGCATTAACCTTCGGGAAGGGCTGCACAGCTGAAGTTGGAGGGATCTCCTGTGCCTTGTCTCAGTTTTGCCACTGCTGCTGGGATGAGACGAGCTTTAGTCCTCAAAACATGCACTTGAGGGAAATCAGTGTTTGTCAAACAGATCAAAAATAAATGAGATATCTGCTTTTCTGTCTGTCCTGTTACTCTCTCCATCTCTTCATGTATCACCTGAGGGAGGTGTGGGTGGGAAATCTTCCATTTTATCCTTTGCATGCAACAGTTGTCACTCCAGTGAAAGAAAAAGCACTCAAACTTCACTGTGCTGAACAGATTATTTTATCCTAGTATTCACAGTATGTACCAAGCTTGAAACAGCAAATTCATGGTTTTTTTGTTTGGTTGGGGTTTTTTTTTAACATTTACTTGTCCTCTTTTGTAAATATATCATTTATGTGAAAGAAAGTGAAGAAGAATTGCAGAGCATATTTAACATTCTGTTATTCACTCTTTGTTTTCTGATATTGATACCAAAGGTTTTATTTATCATGTAAGTGATTTTTTTACCTATCTATATTCATAACTCATTTCTTAAAAGTATTCTCATGGATTACAAATTTTTACAACTTGGCACATTTTCACTTAACTACTTCATCTATTTTATTTAAATTCAAATAGTTTCAGGGATCTCTGGATACACAAAAGTTGACAACCCTTAAAGCTCATTCGCATTTCTAAGCATTTTAAGGAAAACTAGTTTTACATATTTTAAAAGAATTCTGTGGACTTTGGATGTCTAGGGGTAAATTTTGGCTGAAAATCTAGAGCACAACAATTTCTGCAGAACACTGCAATTAAATTTTCAAGCTCCTTTCCCTCTTTAATTTCTATTTTTTTCTTGTATATCTGTCTTTGAAAATCACAATTCTCTTACCATTCAATATGAAGTGAAAAATATACAGAAATATGTCTTCTTTCCTCTCCCAAAGAATAAAAAGAAAACAATGCAAAATTAAGTCTCTTTCATTAGGAAACATGAAAAAACCACAATTGAAAAGTAGATCCAGTTGCAAAATTACAAAGACCTAGAGAACCCGTATGTATTAGGATATGTGTATGCATGTATTCATTCACTTATCTATGTATCTCTCTCTGCTGTGTTAGATAGCTTTTTATGAACTGAATTGAGGATCACTGACTGACTGCTTAAGATAATCTACTTGCCTCTAAAATTACTATACAAAGTGATTGTCACTGTCCTACCTGCAGTTTTTCTGTCTGAAAAACCCGAGGTGAACTGAAATTGCTTTTAATGATACACTGAAGCATTTCTTAAAAAGGATTTTTTTAACTCATCACCATCATTTTTAGGTAACCAGATAAAGACACTTAATGCAAGAACAGAGTCCTTGTCTGACATGCAGGCCTACAAAACAAAACCTCCATTAGTTTCATTCTTATTCTTCCCAAGTACCATCATATTTTCAGGTCTTTGGCATATTTTTCCTTGTTGTCAGGCAGTTAGCAGTGTCTGAACTGCCCAGGCAATTCCTAACAACTTGCTGCCTTTTAGAAGTCAGATTTTTTCAGTTCACCCAGTTAGACAAACAGAAGATAAACAACACCCCTCTCCACAGATTATAAAACATTTTGAAGATTTTTTTGTTTTGTTTTCTTTATGACTGCAGGTTAACTTGAAATAATGTCCCAGCCTTTTTTTCATTTGCTATCTTTTGTGCAATCAAACTAAGGAAACCTTCAGGTCTGCTAAAGCTTCCTTTGTGAGTAGATGTTCTTCTATAAAAAAAGTAAAAAATCAGTCCCTTCATATTTCATTTATATAAATGTAATGGACATATGTTAGAGCAGATTATGTTAACTTAGGGCAGTATCAATCAACAAGGTAATGTTTTTGCATAGGTCATGGGACATCAATGAAGTGAAGGCAGTGTATATGTTTATGTAGGCTCTGTTTGATGTAATACTACAACTCATCTACCAATCTCCATCTCTGACCCTGACATTGCTTTAAAGAACACAAACAGATAAGAGTCAGGAGGTTAAAAACATCCATGATGTAAAGTTGTGTTTACTGAGGACTTTTGATGGTAATTTTTAGGTGTTCCAACTGTTGACCCCTAATTTGAACCACTTGTCAAAAGACACCACATGAATCCTAGGCAAGGATTGCTTTTCTACAAGATCTTTCCCGTTGGTTTCTCAATAATTCTTAGTCAATGACCTCACTTTGCATGTTATATAAAGTTACGGATTTTTAATTTCTTTTTCTTTAAAGTCATGTGGAGTGACTCACAAAATGTAAAGTTTTGTATGCATTTGAGAATAAGTGATCTTTTTCTACTAATCACCAACAATTCAAGTGACTTGTCAAATAATTGCCTACTGGAACTGCTTCTCTGGATATGTTTAAAAAAACACCAAAACAACCAGTGGAATATCCTCATTATTTTTTATTAGGTAAGAAACTAATCCTGAATTGTAAGCTTCATATCCGAAACTACTATGTGATACACAAACACACACACATATATCCATCAAGCATGTGAAGGAAAACAACTATGATAGAAATAAAAAAACCCTAGTTTCTTCTCTGCATTTATTCCACATAAAAAATTGCTTTTTCTCTCTAGACTATTAGGAATTTTTTAGCCAACTAATTGACAGTGCTTATGTTATTGATGAATAATTTGATGCACACATTTGTTGATTGTTGTCACTTTGTGGCAATGACATATAAGCCATTTGGTAATATTTTTCTATTCTGGTTGGGTCAAAATGACTTTTAGAATTAGATTAGGGCTGCAAATAAGGAGTTGTTTCAAGTCTGGGTTGCGCTAACCTTTGTAGACTGACTTTTGCTATTTTTCTCCAACAATTAATTTTACTAGAATGTGGAAAATAATTTATAAATGCCTAAAACTAAAACTTCAGAAACTCTAGTGAGAGGCTGTCTCATGGCAAGTCTAGCTAGGGAAGGCTGCTATGGACTTTTTGCATTAAATCATGGGTCATGAAAAAAAAAAAGAAAGGAAATGGTAATTTATCTCCTTGGTGGCACCCAAAGTGTCTGGACACTGAATAAAACACCTTGTTTTATTCACCATGTTGTGCATGCATACACCAGCCAGATAACTATTTTCTACAAACTATTACACTCTTCTGGCAAGACAGGTTAAAGTCCTTTAGTCATTCTACCATAGGCCAGCTGCCCATGTAGTGAGTTTGCCTAGCTGGAGATATAAAACAGAAACTTTGACTTTCTGTGGTATGACAAAGCTGAAAACATGCTGCAGAGTGTGATTTCCTGTGGACAAGTAACACAAAAAGAAGGCTTCTGCTTCACCCCTTCTGCTGTAGTCAGCATTACTAAACCCAGGTAGTGGTATTTCCTGTGACCAGCCATGGAAATAAAGGCTTTTCAGTGCCTACCACAGTGAGCTATAGCTTAGCAGGGACTTTGAAAAATGTAAATGACCCCCTTAGCACTGGCTCCAGGCACCTAAACCAGCATAAGCTGTTTAAATCTCTTTGTATCCTTCAGCCACACTGTCTCTCTGAGCCCAGAAACAGAAAAGAACACCACTAACCATGTAATTTGCCCTTTACTGCAGTCCCTGGGGGCTGTAAGCACTGATGGGATGAGACTCCAGCCTTCACTACCGTCAGGTTTACTTGCTGAAGTGGTTGCTATCATATGCTGATAAAGGAAAAGGCAAATTCCCCAGAGATTTACTCTTAAAGCAGTTTAAGTATAATAACACTTTCAAATACATATTAAGGCATCTCATGTGAAGTTTGAGACAGTAACAAAAAATTACCACTTACTTTAATGCCTGGATCTGTCACATGAGTTAACTGCCAGCTTGCACATAAAACTCCCCTTTCTCCCTGAACTAATGCATGGCTTTCCAGGAACAAGCGTATCCACATGCAGTAGGAGAAAAGTAGGCACTAGTGATGGAGAAAAAGTGACATCCAGCCCCAGACCAGGGCCACCATATTCACAGTCAGCTGCACCACTTAAATGAAAAATGCCTGTGGGAAAATTCCAGCAGCAATAATTCATCTATATTGGTTTCTACCTCATGAAGTACAACAGTAGATATTCGCTTTCACAGTAGATAAAGCTTACTGCTAACCCAAAACTAGAGGAGCCCCTGATGTTTCAAATTCCTGGTCTTTTGTTCTGAGGTTTCAGGGAAACTTTTAGCCTCCATGAATATATTTGACTCTTAAAATTTGAATATAAAATGCCATTCTGTCATCTTTTTATCTTTTTAAAAATGCTAATAAAAATAGGAATAAGTCATAGGACCCAGATCACAGTAAGTCGAGAGGTCCATTTTCTGTGGTCATCCATCCTATGAAGTGGGAAACCAAGACTGT